AAAAAAAAATGTATTGGATCAACCATGAAAAGTCTTCATATATATTTTTTTAAATTGCTCACTAATAATATCAAACATACCAGTATATAACTACCTTATCATACGATTCATTTGGTTTTTGATAATACTTTAATGTGCCATGATAAAATAAAATAAAAAAATACCTTGTAGCCAAATAGCGAACAGCATGCTCTTCTAAAAACAGAAATCTTCTCCGCAAAAACAGCCTTGTATCTGCACTAGGTAGGTAAATAAGTAGTTAATTCTAATATAAAAATGGTAATTTTATGGAATAAATCTAAGCATTAAGCAAAGGGGTCACCTTTCTTCACGCTTCTCAAGTATTGCAATTTGTTCTTTAAGTTGTGATAGTTTTTCAGGTATGCCTACACTGATTACATTGCCTGCATCTGTTGACCAAACAAATAAAATGATTTCAAATGCTTGGTAGAGGAACATAACAAAAAGGTCTGAAAGAGTTTGAAAACAACAAGTTAACGTGGGCTCACTTCAATCTCATAGATAGTAGAACTAAAATTGTAGAGAAAATGTTGTTCAAAGCACCTAGCAGACAATACTATCCAGATGCTTGAAGAAACCAGGGGATAACCTAGTGTACAGCCAAAGCCTTCTGTTTTTACAATTAAATGTAGATAAATTTCAATTAAAGGAAAAAATTTTCTAAACCACCCTTAAATATTAAATATCACGCTAATGCCCAGTCAACAATATGTGAATGGATCCCAAACACTGTGGGCTTAAAAAATTCGCATCCCGGCCTCTCTGTGGCCCCTTTCTTTCTTTGGGTCATCGAGGAGAGTTATAACATTTAGGTTCTGAGGCAAATTTTAAGAAGAAGATTGGGTTTTGAATAAGACATCACCCAGCGATTTTGCCCTCATGTTGCGAGGATTTTATGATCTAAGTTAAAGTTTCCTATAGGCGCAAGCTCTTATAATTAATTACCCCTCCTGATAACGAGAGAGAACTTTCGATTAAGGCTAGTCGTCAAACAGATACATAGTACCTGGTGTATAGTAGCATCATGCTTAGGTATTTTAAAATTTAAAAATTAAACTTAGAAATTCACCACCTTGCACTTGAAGCGGATGGTTGGGGAATAATGATAGACCCGAACAAGATCCCATGGTTATGTCGTCTCGGGCCATCAGGGTCCCTAGTCTACTTAGCCAGAGGAGGTAGTTGACCCAGTCTGACCAAAAGATCCTTGTCGACAACCATGGGTTTCTTTGTCCTAGGATACCTTATAAACCTAGGGTGAATGTTTGTTTAAGGGGACAAATTTGAAGCCACCTTAGCTAACAGAGGACTTTGTGCCCTATCGGTCATTACTAAAAAATTTAGCGTCGTTGGGGAGCATACGGGCTCTGACCATGACTGTAATTTAATGATGCCATTTGGCAACAAAACCACCCGATTAGAGGGCCTTGGTGATAATTGTTTAATTGTGGTGTCATTTTGCAGCAAAACCACCGGTTAGAGAACATATGTCATATCCTTACTGGCAAGAAATAGATTAAAAATGAATCCTAATTATATTCTTGACCAGACATTTGCTCTTTCTAAGCAGAACTGATTTTCAAACATATCCATCTCAGCAAACTGTTGTAGAGGGTGGATGAATTTTTGCTTTTAGTATTTGATGATTGAATTTTGATTTTAAATATCAATATTCTTAATGGATGTGAAGTTTTTTTGGTGTTTTGGTAGATCTTTATGAGTCAATCCCTCTAATTAAATTTTTCTGTCAACTCGGCCATAATCGGGGTTACTTCATTGTCAATTTAGATGCTGTATTTTATAGGAATTTGAGAGGCATTTTAATTATTTTGGATACCCTTCTGTGAGATTTTCTATCAACAAGGCCATCATTCAGGTATTTATTGGTTGAACCTTATCAACTTTATCAACTTGCTAAGAGAGGATCGATTTTGTCGTCAGTTTTATGCTTTTATTAATGAATCTTTCTTATAATATATGTTTAAGGCCTAAAATGAACATATAAAATAAATACCTCGGTCAACGTCGTGACCGTACATTTATTTGATATTCGAGCCGTGTCGACTCTTATCTATTCACATAGAAGGATCGGTCTCAAATTTATATTCATTTCTTAACCCGCGCAATATCCTCAAATTTCACATGAGTACATACATCACAATCATCAGGGCCTATATGGGTATATGTTGTTGAATGCATTTTACATGATGTATTTATGTGACAGTTATTTATATGCAATGTAGTGGACGTACGCGACACATATGTATGTTATGCATACACACTCATATATCTATCTGTATATTGGCATGTATATTTGCATCCTACATTATGTGTTTGCACAATGCATGTTGTGTGTTGCAACTTGTATATTGTATGCATATTAGAATTTTATAAGGTTGAATAAAAATTTGATTGACCCTTTCTTTCATTTCTCTTTTAGTCTAATTGTTATGCTCAGTGTGTGACTCATTAGTTTTTTTCTTTAGAGTTGGAATTTAGATTGAAAAAAACAGGCTAACCCCACTACAAACTTAGTAACTATCAAAACTAAAGAAATTCAAAACTAATAATGTGTATGTATCTAGTACATTCTTATGTTAGGTGAGGATGCTTGCAATATGTCTACTCATTCCTAACTACATGCAATTATAATATGCTTGTGTCGTACACTTACATAGTGCAGTTTTCAAATATTGCTAGTAAGCATGACCGTTGTATGCATCGCAGGCATTCTACTGTTACCTACATGCAAGATGCATTAAATGCAGATCTTCTAGTGTTGCTCATAGGGTTAGCATTTACTATAGTTTTTATGTATTTGCTTGTAGATAGCATATAGTGTGTATGACGGGTCTTTTACACATGCTCGTAGATGAGTTGTTATAATCATCGAGTATTGTCCTTCAATGTTCATAATGATTGTCGCCTGTATCTGTAAGCTAGTTGATGTTAATCATAGGAAGACTGTTATATTCATAGCTCATCCGTTGTTGTTGTTCACAAATAGGTTTGGGTATTCATTTGTAAGCTATCTGATGTTGCACAAAGGGAGACAGTTACATTCGTTGTATGTTCCCTTGAGTGTGTTTGTAGGGTGACTGTCAGTGTCATTGTTTGCGAACAAATCTATTATGCAAACTTCACATCTTCTGTCATTACCCGCTGGCAGGCTGCATTAACTGCAAGTCTGCCAACGTCGACTGTAAGCGCTTGTACTTGTCACAAATGCGTTGCTTTTGCTAGAAAACAGTGTGTTGCATTTGTTGTAACTCCCTCATCTGTGTTTGCAAGGAGTCATTCATATTCTTTCATATCCATCATCACCGCTTGCAAAGCTTGAATGTACTTTCTTGTATGTTGATATTGTCGGCAGCCATAGGTTGCTTCGTCCAAGAGTACCTTATAGACCTGAGGTGAATGTTTGTCTAAGGGGACAAATTTGAATCCACCTTAGCTAACAAAGGGCTTTGTGCCCTATCGATCATATCATATTGATTCATATCTCAAGGATTTGATGTCATTAAGGAATGTATTGGCGCTGGTCATAACTGGTATTTCGTGATGCCATTTGGCGGCAAAACCACCCGGTTCAGAGGGCCCCGGGTCATAACCGTTTATCCTATGGTACCATTTGGCGGCAAACCGCCAGTTAAAGGACACGTACCACGTCCTTAATGGCAGGATACTGTCTGAGAATGGATCCTAGTGATACTTTCGACTATGCATTTGGCTCTTTGTGAGCGAAAGTAGTATTTGAAATTTTAGATTTTGGGTGGTAAATGAATTTTGTTTATTGATAGTAGTAAAATTTGTCCACCCGGCAAACTGTTGCGGATGGTAAATGAATTTTGTTTTAACCGATTGATAGTTTATTTCAATTTTAAATATTTTTTGAATTTTTAGATTTTTGGAATTTTTGTGGGGTTTTGAATTTTGGGTGGACATTTAAAAATGTTTGTGAGCCCCTCCGATTGAGATAAACATTCAACACGGCCATCATCGGGGTGTTTGGGAACATTTTCATTCGTAACTTGAACTTTGTCGACTCTGTTTGGCTATCGACAAAGGATCGGATTTCGTAGGCTCTATACTTTTGTTTGTGAATTCTCTATGAGCAATAAACCACCTTTTGTTAGACCCAATTTGACCCCCAGTTGAACAGGGGTCAAAATGACTAAAATATCCTTATAAGGTTCAAATATTCATTTCAAACCACACGATCTCCAAATTGAATGCAACTACCTCCAGCAAGTTTCAAATATCAAACCAAACCTGTTGAACCTATTCCCAGACTCTGGGTCAACCTGGTTGACCTAAGAGGCCCTTCAAGAGTCCAAACAGGTGATTTGATTGAAATAACCTATCTAAGCCATGAGACCACCTCTAATGATCTCCAAATGCCATTTCAAACCTGTTAAGCCTTGACCCACCCCTTGGGTCAACCTAGTTGACCAAGTCAACCTAGGTTGACCCAAATACCCTTTAAGGCTCTAAATGGCACTTCAACCCATTTAACCTATCTAGCCCATTCAAGCTCTCAAACTCATTTCAAACCTAACTCAAATCCATTCGAATTTATTTGAAGTCAAATCATGTCAAATTTGACTTAGTCAAACTTCAATTTATTGGTCAAACCTTTTTGAAATCCTTTCTAATTCATTCAAACTTCAATCTTCAAATATCAAATCCCCTCTAAGGCCTCCCATCAGCTCTTGGCATGCCATGTCAGCTGAGTGGACCTGTTGACAAGTCAAACCAGCCAACAAATGGTCAATGGAGCTTTTAAATGGCCCAAACCATTGATGACATGGCACTCCATTCATTCTAGCTCGTTCCAGCAGTCTAGAATCACTCCAGAACCTTCTCTAGGACCTTCTCCATCCCTTAGATCTAAATCTAGCAGCCCCCATCATTCCATGTGTCCAAATGGAGACCAAGGGATATTTTCCACCTCATGTACACTTTGTCCATTGATCCACCTGCTCCTACCAACTCCTTGGACAAATGGCTTGATCATAGACACTCCCTTAGTTGATCATAGCCGTCCATTTAATCTAGAGACAAGTGAATAGAGCAAAATATCTTAATTAAGGGATATTTTAATCATAAGCTCACACACTCAATCCCTCTCATCCAAAAAGCTATTCCAGCCTCCAAAACCGATCAAAAACCTTCTTCAAGCCTATCCCTAGCCTTCCCCCACAAGATCTTGGCCTCCAAAACTCTAATTAGAGAAGAGAGATAGTTTAGAGAGAGAATCATGAAATTCCAGAATAACTTCAAATCCAGCTAGATCCAGCTCTTGAGGTCTTCTACAAAGTTGAAGAGGATTTTAACAGTTTTCCAACAAGCCCAAGAAGTCGAAAATCCGACGGTTGTATTGTAAGTT